TTACTTCTTTTTCTCGGCTTTGTGATGAACTAGAATGGCAGCACCGAACGCTCCACGACCGATCTGCTCCATGATCTCATACTGATCCATCCGCGACTCCATCGTCTTCGTCTTCGTCTCCGTCTTCCTCAACCAATCGAGACTGCTCTGCACTCTCCCAAAGGAACTTGCTTCTCTTCAACGTAATGTTAAGCACTTGTTTTACCCTGACCTACACGCTTCGTTTTCCTCAAGATTCCAACTCGCTCGATGACGTTTACCATTGAAATCGAAGCGCCGCCAAATCAAATTTCAGATCCGGACAGTTTTGGATATGAGACTGACAAAAAAAAAACAGAAAATCGTTGCAGATTCACATGAGAAAGAGATTATACAAGAAGAATACTGAATCTCTCTCTCTAGATTCGTCTTTTTCCTTGTATGGCTAGTAGTGTTCACTCGCACACTAGTACGAATCTAGACGAAGAATAGTGATTCGGAGCAAATACTTGGGTTTGCTTTCAGGTTTGGCGAGATTAGGCGACTAGTTAAGTCACTTTTATTTCTTTTGTCAACTCAACAGGCGAATATGTAAAGTAATTAATCAACGAGTTTTACTACTAATTATATTCATTTATTAGACTGTAAAGAAAGATTAGCTAAACAGATGAAGTCAATCTATATAGATTTTATAGATGTAATGTTAAAAACTAGTAGAATAATTTAACTCAAAAGAATAAATTTGATAATTTGCCGAAAACATAAAAACACTTTCTAAACAATATTGTTTCATTTTATTATTTTCCCCCCCCCGAAAATACTACACATAATATTTATGACATCATTTTTTCCTAAATCAGATCTAAGAAGATTTTCAAAAAATTTAGGAAGGTTTCCTTTAAATAAGTGATCATGTTTTTGGAAGAAAATTACCGTATGTTTATGTATTTCTCCAAAGGGTGATTTTGATGTATAACTAAAAAAAATAATAATTAAAAAGTAAGTAAATAATTTGTATAAGTCAAAATCATAATCATTGGATATGGGATCTAATTAGTTTTTATATTATAATTTTTTGTGTTATTTTTGTTAATTTCTCTTTCTCAAAATGTACCAATGTTTCCTAAATGTTGTAAATAACATTTCCAATTGTGATCAATGATATACTTTTCAACAAAAAAAAAAGAAGATAATATTTAACTTAAGATAGCATTGAGATTACGATATTGTAAAGAAAACAGTAAATGCAAGGCAATATTGAGATTTAATGGTGAAAATTATTTGTCTTATTTACAAAGTATTGTTTTTGGCCTGTCATATTGAACATGTACTTGCGTTGCGTAATTGCAATTGTCTTTTTATTATAGTTTTTTTGGTCAATTACAAAAATGCTATTTTTTGTGTATACATTTGCAAAAATACCACTTAGGAGTGTTTATTTATAAAAATGTCACTAATTATAGATTTATAAAATCTATATTTTAGAATTCTAAACCCTAAAAAATATTTTGACACTTAAAACTCCATAAACACTCAAAACTAAATCCTAATAGAACATAATTAACCCAAACATAAATAATATAAAGAAAAAATAATTTCGAAAAAATGATATTTTTGTAAAGATTTCAAAAGTGTGGTATTTTTGTAAAATGACACTGCATTTTTTAAATTTCTCTTTTTTGTCACAATGTTTTCATTTTAGTTTTTTTCCC